AGAGACAGTTGGAAGGCTTGCATACATAATGGAAAACTGATGAAGATGAATTAGTTTATTATTATTAATTAGTTACCCTATCATAAATTCAACCAATATTTTTGGCTATACCACACTATATAAATCGTTAATTTTTTCATAAAATGAGATTATTGGACCCACTTTCATTTTGTTGTTTGATACATATACATTTTAATCAATGACCTATTTAGGTATTTAGGCCAGGTTCTTACAAGGGGGGTTTTCTGGGCGTGAGGTCCAAGGTCGAAGCTCCGGTGGGGTCGGCGAAACCCCCAAAGCAAGAGGATTTTTGTGCTTTATGGGTCTAAATAATGCTATAAAAGCAAATATGTTTGAAAACGTCTGTGTCTGGGTGGGTCTGCAGTGCATTAGTTGGATTGGATGACTTATTTGGGAAATTTGAAGAGGGGGGGGTTCGCCAAAAAAAGAGGGGGCTTGCTAGAAAAGGGGGTTCTCCCGAATTATAACCCCCCCCCCCCACTGGATACGGGTCTGCTCATCCTATCCTGATATTGGACCCGCCTCTGATTTTTTAATTGTATATTTTCCACTAACAAATCTTTGAAATGCTTATTGACATCGTAAGGTACTTGGCAATATAACCGTAAATTATCAAACTTTGTATTGAAACAAATTCTAAAATTTGAAAGTGGATCTTAAGCAGTAATATAATCAAAACATTAAAGTCAGCCAGGAATAGATTACAGTGCTGATGATGGTATTTACTTGCGTACGTAAAGAGTCCGCGAACAATAAATCATTCGACTATCATGGGCATACAGCTAGCAATAAATAAATCTTAGAACCTTCAGTAGTCAATTTTACACAATGTCTAATCCGATTATCTGGTCTCACTTTCGTAAATCTACCATCTTCATTTTTATTTAATTTTATTTATGAAAAAAGTGACCTCTAGAAGACCACATTTGGGACCGGGATTTTTTTGTTTAGCCGTCTTGATTCGTCCAGGGAGATGAAAAAAAAAAAAAAAAAAAAATATTTATTACATCTCTCTGTTAGAATACTGTACTATCAAAGACATTATTTGGGACCACCGAAAAGTAGTCTGGAGGTGGTCTTTAATTAGAGGGAGACCTGTATATGTTTTATTTATATATGCAATAATAGTTAAGGGAGCCCTTATAGTATAATATGTATTGAATATTGTTTGTTATTATAAATAGGCCTCTAAATAGCCTCCCCGCTCAGTCCTCATGCGTTTTCGTTTTAACTACCAACTTTGCCAGTGTAGCTTAAAAGAGAACTAGCAAAATGATTTTTTGTTCTAAAGTGGATTTTTGATCATGCCATTAATAATAGAATCAACCTTAAAATCGTTTTTTGGCTATTTTTTATGACGTTATAGGCGATTATATACGATTTTTACCATGACGTCACTGGCGAAAAAGTAACAAAAGACATCTTACGTTTATTAAGATGTTTGGAAAGAAAATAATGAAATTATGTCTCTAAATAAAAGTTCATATGCATCAGCCGAATGTAGTACAATTGTTTATCAGTGTGATTAATCTGCTCAATAAACAATTTTAATTACTTGTGCAAATATAAAGACGTGGGTAACCCACATCTTTATATACGACTTTTCATGGATCTCGACCTGCTATGTAGGCCCTCTTTAGGCTAAACGCGCCTAGACGGTTGGAAGCGACGATCGAAGAAAAACGGTTAAGCAAGCCAGGGACTACGCTAACTTCCATTCCTCAGTATTAAAATCCTTCCATTGGTGGGCACTGTCTAAAACTTTCTTCCAGATTATCTCTGGAAAAAAAAATTTGTTCGTGTGGCACTGGCAATCGAACACACAACCACCAGGTTTGCTATTCATTATCCACCATCAAATAAACTGCCTTAAAAAAACAAACAAAAAAACAAATTAGTTCGTGTGGGAGTCGAACACACAACCTCCAGGTTTGCTATTCATTATCCACCATCAACTAAACTGCCTTAAAGAAAAAAAAAATAGTTCGTGTGGGAATCGAACACACAACGACCAGGTTTGCTATTCATTATCCACCATCAACTAAACTGCCTTAAAAAATGGTTCGTGTGGGAATCGAACACACAACCACCAGGT